GGGTAGAAGCTGTTCCTCAGTCTAGTGGTTCTACACTTAATGCTCCTCAACCTCAACTCTGAGGGGAACAGGGCAAAAAGTGTGTGTGCTGGGTGAGTGGGGTCCTTCATGATGCAGGTGGCCCTCTTCCTGCATCTGGAGGTGTAGATATCTGTGATGGTGGGGAGAGTGACTCCAACATCTTCTGTGCAGCCTTCACCACTCTCTGCAAAGCTTTTCTTTCTGCAGCTGTGCAGCCTCCATGCCACACGTTGATGCTGGAGCACAGGATGCTCTCCACTGCACACCTGTAGAAGGAGGTGAGGACTGAGCTTCCCAGACCAGCTCGCCTCAGCCGTCTGAGGAAGTAGAGTCTCTGATGAGCTTTCTTGATCAGGATGGTGGTGGTGTTGCCCCACCTTAGGTTGTCATTCAGGTATACTCCCAAGTACTTGTAGTTGGAAACCACTTCCACCGCAGATCCTCATATTTTCGAGTGTGTGTGTGTTTGTTCCTTCTGAAGTCCACAATCGTCTCCTTCTTCTTCACATTCATGTGAAGGTTATCCTCTTTGCACCAGCTCTCCAGGTGTTCCACCTCCTGCCTGTAGATGGACTCATTGTTTGTGATGCATCCCACCACTGCTGTATCATCTGAGGTTCAGATGTGGTTTGCAGTTTTACTGGGCAGGTCGTCCAGTGATGTAGCTCTGCTGGCCCATCAACGGCTGCTGTCTGCTTATGGTAAATGGACTGTACTTATACAGCTCCTTTCTATGTAATCCTCAACGATTACATGATTATGCTGTTACTCAAAGCTCTTAACACAGTCTGTGTCCTCATTTACCTCCACACACATATTCATACAGCACTCTACTACACCTCTACAAAGATAATCTGAATCTGTAGACACTAATTGCTGTTTTATCACATTCAGACACCGATGGGACACACATCGGAGGCATTGAGGTGTTCAGTCTTTCCCAGGAACACTTCAGCATATGACAGCTATTGGAATCAAACCCCCAACTCCCCAAATGGAGGACGACCCATCTAACTACTCAGCCACAGCTTCCCCACAGTCTGTATGGAACTACGAACAGCATGGTCCCATAAACCTAGCTGAGTGGGGGTGGTACCGATGGTGGGCGGGACCTTAAGTGGTGAATTGATGAACTGGTCTATTAAGTCCACTGTTTTTCCAGTCAGAACATCTCACCTTAAGGGAGCAGTCACACAAGCTGGATGCGATTTTTGAGAATCGTAGGTCATTGCAGCTCCTACAACTCGCCGGCACGAAGGAACCGACCTTGGAGAAGGCTAACAAGCACGGACCAGTGGAATGTCCACAAATCAGGCTGTCTGGATTCACCATTGAGTGAACCAGCAGAACTGAAGGCCAACATGAAATCAGTAAGCTGGAGCAAGAACACCACCAGCCTGATCAAGAAATCTCATCAGAGACTCCACTTCCTCAGGCGGCTGAGACGAGCTGGTCTGGGAAGCTCAGTCCTCACCTCCTTCTACAGGTGTGCAGTGGAGAGCATCCTGTGCTCGAGCATCAATGTGTGGCATGGAGGCTGCACAGCTGCAGAAAGAAAAGCTTTGCAGAGAGTGGTGAAGGCTGCACAGAAGATGTTGGAGTCAGTCTCCCCACCGTCACATACATCTACACCTCTAGATGCAGGAAGACGGCCACCTGCATCATGAAGGACCCCACTCACCCAGCACACACTTTTTGCCCTGCTCCCCTCAGAAAGGAGGATGAGGAGCATTAAGTGTAGAACCACTAGACTGAGGAACAGCTTCTACCCTGAGGCTGTTAGACTCATGAATATCTAACCAGAATAATCACTGTGAAAAACCACATCATGTTGCTGCTGATCTGTTTCATGTTGCTGCTGATCTGTTTCAATGTTGATGTGATGTGTTCATTCATGCTCATCTGCTCACAGACTCATGTTCATGTTTGTGCTGATGTTCAATGTTTTATGTTATGAGTGCTTAGTGTATATTTAGTTGATGTTTTTCTTAGTTCATATCTTAGATGTTATTACTGTTTTTCTTATACATTTTATTGTTGGATGTAACTGGGACCCTGTGTACATAATTTCACTCCACCACATGTACCACATGAGGTGCGAATGACAATAAAGAATCTCTGACTGTGAAACTATCTGGAAGTGTTCATGGACAATAACACCATCTTGTCGTTCCCCAGCAAAATGTATTATGTCCATGTTGCTTTTGTGCTGGTTTGTTTTTTGTGCTACCTTACACTGTGCCCTATGTTCAAGGACAGGGTGCAAGATCTTTTTTAAATAAAAAACCTTCTCTCCTCATGTTTTCTTCCTCTTTTCATATCTAAGCGATAAGGGCAGCGCTTCATAGAAGCTGCAGCCCCGGTGCACTTCCGCCTACCCTTCAGACGGCTGTATGGAATAATTTCACTGTACTTAACTATGCAATGACAATAGTTGATTCTGATTTTCTGCTGAACAGATGACTCCACCCCTTTCTGATGACTATGCAGCTGATCAATCAATAAATTGATCAGCTCCATCTAGTATTGTAGTACTCTAGACCGGTCTTGGTATTGAGACCGGTCTCAAGACCACTTTTTGATGGACTTGTCTCGGACTCTACCGCATTTGGTCTTGGTCTCGGACATCGAGATTTTATTTCAAGACCAGTCAAGACCACAACTGTGGACAAAAATCACTAAATTACCAGAACATTGTCCAGTTTATTTGTTAACATCTTTGTTTTTAGTGGATGCAAAACGTACTAATTCAAATCCAAGCGATAACGTGACTCATTGCTAAATACATTTTTTGTTACCACTGTCACGCCCACCCCATTTCACTCGCACGAGTCACTCCCAGTGTGGCCAGATTGGGCGGTTTTCATTCTCATTTTGCTGGGAACTCTGGGAAGATTTTTGTTGGATTGTTGCGTTTTGCCACATATTAAATTACCTTGGTTTGTACTGATGTGCGTTCATGTTCAAACAGTAAATATTCTGTAACAATATATTGATGGGGCAGATTTTTGTCTGATGTGGCTGTTTTTAACAGATTTTTGGGCTGGAAAACCTCGACTATCTGGCAACACTGGAGAAGGTGAGAAGTGATTGTTTGGGCGAAGGAGAAGATGTCTGCCACATCATCAGTTATAAAATTTGCCTATTTAAATCAAAAAGAATATACTTGCAACTATATGATAATCCTTGGTGTTGAGTTTGGACTTGTGTTTTGTCACTGCAGTTTTTTAAAGCTTGGCATGTGATGAAACTTCTCCCAATTTAACAGTCGAGTCATTTTATTGTTGAATCACATGAAGTTAGGCCACTGAATGTCTGATTTCTTTATTGTAGCTTTGAACATTTATAAAAGCTGATATATTCATTCAAAACCAAACTTAAAGTTGCAGTATGTAAAGTTTATAAAAAATATTTTATAATAACATTTTATATTTTATTTATTTTATTTGAGGTCTTGGTCTCGGACCCTAAAAGCCTTGGTCTTGGTCTCGGGTTAGGTGGTCTTGAACACACTAGCTCCATCAGAATCAGAGAAAACGAGACATCACCGTTGCTCTAAAGGAAGTGACAAACGGCCAAGTTCAGTTTTGAACATTAGAAACTTTTAATCTGAAGAAAAAACTTTCACAATAAAAGATGATTGTTTCCTGCTTCCTTTCATATGACCTCACAGATCACCTCAATGACCCCCCCGGTGCCCCGCGCCTCATGTTTAAAACTGCCAGACTACAATCGTGAAAGACAGACAGAGGATTCTGGGCACAAGGGTCACACAGTTTCCAAAAAAAAAAAAAACGTTTTTACAAACATTCAAAAGAAACGCTTTAAACAAATAACTATTTTGAAAAGTTTCACCATATCCCCATGGAAACTGATGTCATCAAGTTTTATTCATAAATTTAAACACAAACAGGAAACCAGTCACAAAAGTTAGCAGACTGTCAAAATAAAAGCAGTTGGTACCATGTGATCACCTTCGGTACCGGCCCCTCTCCTTGTCCCGCTCTCTCTCCCGGTCTCTGTCCCTCGCTCTCTCTCGCTCTCGCTCACGCCGAGGTCCACCACGCTCGCGCTCACGCTGACGCTCTCGCTCCCGCCTGCTGCTCACCACTGCCTGCGTCCGCCGCAGGAAGTCGTCCACTCGCATGTCGTAGTCGTGCTGCATGACGAGAAAAACAGTCAGTATGGTCCATTCAGGTCGGGGTTTAAAAGGAGCAGAACCAGAGCCGAACTCACTGGGCTGGAGGCGAAGGCACGGTGCTGCGGCACGCGCTGCTTGTCTCGGAAGCGAGGGGGCGGAGCCTCGTGTGGTGGGAGGGGTGGATGGTGGTGGTGATGGAAGGCCTGGTGGGGAGGGGGTGGTGGGTGGTTGTGGTGGTAGTATGGGGGGGGGGGGGGGGGGCTGCTGCTCCACGTTGGGATATGGTGCCTGCTGACACAAACATGACATCATCGGTACACCGAACAGCTGATCGATGGTGCTGAGGCCTCTGATTGGCCCCAGTCAGATCAATTAACAATAGTTTCATCATGTACTTCACTAAATGCTGTGCTCCAGTTACTCTACAAATACTTCAATGACAGTACTCCCACCCCTGAAAATGTAAGTGAAAACACAATACCCGGTATAGAGATCTGTAAATCTCAAACATTCTATATCAGTAAACATATAAAATGTAGAAACTAAGATATTATCTCATGTTTTGGAAGAAAAAGACAAAGAAGAAAATTTTGTTGTAATGACAGCGACACGTCTGTTGAAAGTTGTTCCAGCAGACGTGGACTGGAAGCACTTTACCTGGATCTCACCTCGACACTGTCTGGCAGAAAAAGCCATGAATTAAAAGTTCTCCGTCCCCATGACCGACATACACACGTTTACTAACTGTACTGAGAAAAATGTCATTAATGAACAATCAAATGTGAAAATAAACAGCATTAAGAGACTGCATGAGCTGAAATCCTGTAAATATCATTTTAGAGGAGAAATGTGTCGGTCTGGAAACGTAAAATGAAACATTTGAATATTTGCTCTTCAAAAGACTTTCCTGTACTAAAATTTATTAAAATAGATCTGACGACACTCAAAAAGTTAACTAGACAAAAGTTATTCAAAATGTCTCCTTCAGATCCGTTATTAGACATGCGATACTGTGTACTTTTACTAAGGTTATGTACTCACTATACTGTGTACTCTTACTGAGGTAATGTATACATGTATAGGGTTGGGCTTCGAGTCTCGAGAATTGATTGGAACTGGGACTAACGTTCCGATTCTCCCAGAATCGTTCAGATTTTTTTATTTTCAATTCCTACTTTCGATGCCCAGTCCGCCGACCGGAAGAAGCCGCCGAACACCAACGAAGAAGAATCCACAGGAAGTGTTCGCATACATGGACAGTAAGCAGCCACGATCGAAAGCGTGGCTTAACTTAAATAAAAAATTTAAACAAAGACCAGTCTGCTCAGTGCAGCGCTTGCAATAATTTTATATTGTGCAAAGGAGGGTGCACGACCAACACTTCCAGGATCATCATGTAGAAGTAACAGAGTGCTCCGTCTTTGATGGCTCCGACCCTCAGCTGTTAACCCACTGCAGTCAGAACCAAGTACGTAAAACTATAAACTACGTCTCATACCAACATTAAGGCAGCTAACAAGTTATACTCGACTTAAAGCAGTAGGTCAACTAAAATGCAAACACCATGCTAACGTTAGCTCGTATTTTTTCTTCTTAGACAAACGACCTGAAATGGCTAATAATGTTAGCCAGGCCCCACGATGTGCTCCTCCGTTCACCATCGTGTCCAAGGGAAATATGTCGGTGCAACTAACTGAATGAAGAGTGCCACAGAACCGTTACAGCAGATATTGTGAAAAGGTTGCATCCCTTTTCAGATGTGGAATCACCAACATTTAGGTTCGTTAGTCAATAACAATAGAGCTAAGCTAATTAACTGTCCATCCTAAGCTAACGTTACAGTAACAGTGACATTACATGTTTGTTTCTACGTTTGCAGGGACATGGTGAAAACCATCAACCCAAGTACACACCACCTACCAGGGACCACTTGTCAAATAAGTTGATCCCATCTTGTTAAAAGTTGGAGAAGAGTTGCTCTGTGCTTTAAACAGAAGATGGATGACGTGTCTGGCAGCAGATCCAGAGAAAGATGATTGAGCAGGTGAAATGTCATTCACAACTGGCCTTTCCTGCTTTAAAATCTGAAATCTAAATACTAGTAATGTTCTTTGTGGTCAACAGAGGAAGACTGTGGAGATGATGGGGTCACCATGCAGTCTGAGGAAAGGTCTGAGAATGAGGGAGTGGAGGAGGAGGAGGAGCGTGTAAGTTTATGACAGCTGAAATTATATACAGTGAGGAAATAAGTATTTGAACATCCTGCGACTTTGCAAGTTCTCCCACTTAGAAATCATGGAGGGGTCTGAAATGTTCATCTTAGGTGCATGTCCACTGTGAGAGACATAATCTAAAAAAAAAAAAAAATCCATAAATCACAATATGATTTTTTAATAATTGATTTGTGTGTTACTGCTACAAATAAGTATTTGAACACCTGTGAAAATCAGTATTAATATTTGTTACAGTAGTGTTTGTTTGCAGTTACAGAGGTCAAATGTTTCCTGTAGTGTTTCAGCAGGTCTGCACACAGCGCAGCAGAGATTTTGGTCCATTCCTCCACACAGATCTTCTCTAGATCAGCAGGTTTCTGGGCTGTTGCTGAGAAACACGGAGTTTGAGCTCCCTCCAAATATTTTCTATAGGGTTTAAGTCTGGAGACTGGCTAGGCCACTCCAGAACCTTGATATGCTTCTTACGGAGCCACTCCTTGGTTCTCCTGGCTGTGAGCTTTGGGTCATTGTCATGTTGGAAGACCCAGCTTCAATGCTCTAACTGAGGCGAGTGGAATTAAGACCAAAAAGTTCTATTTTGGTCTCATGTGACCACAGAACTTTCTCCCATGACTCCTCTGGATCATCCAAATGGTCATGGGCAAACTTAAGACGGGCCTGGACGTGTGCTGATTTAACCAGGGGAACCTTCCGTGCCATGCATGATTTTAAACTGTGACGTCTTAGAGTATTACCCACAGTAACCATGGAAACAGTGGTGCCAGCTCTCTTCAGGTCATGGACCAGCTCCTCCCATGTAGTTCTGGGCTGATTCCTCGCCTTTCTTAGGATCATTGATACGCCACGAGGTGAGATCTTGCATGGAGCCCCAGTCCGAGGGAGATTGACAGTCATGTTTAGCTTCTTCCATTTTCTAATAGTTGCTCCAACACTTGATCTTTTTTCACCAAGCTGCTTGGCAATTGCCCCATAACCCTTTCCAGCCTCGTGGAGGTCTACAATTTTGCCTCTGGTGTCTTTGGACAGCTCTTTGGTCAGTCTTAATAATGATCATGCATTTAATGATCCCTTTTTACTGATAATATTGATAAACCTGTTGTTTGTTTAGGAACCACCTCCCTGCAATCTGTCCAGAAAGTCTCCACTGGAAGAGATTTTTGCTGAGGAAGAGGCACAGAACGTAATGTCACAGCTCCATGTCCATGAAGAAACGAGTGGAGAGAGGGCTGCAGATGGACCAGGACATTCCACCAGATGTTCTGTGTGAGGACCTGCTGCTGGTGGTGGAACCAACACAAGACTTATCCTTTGCTGTCAGATCTTGCTTTCTCATATTTATGTGTTCAAGCTTCTTCTACACGCAGCAAACATGTGTTCTCCACTGCAGGAGACACCGTCTGTCCAGAACGTTCACACATACTGCCTGAGAAGCAGATATGATCATTTTCCTCAACAAGAACCGTTTCTGAGTTTATACTGTACCTGCTGCTAATCTGGACTGGGTTGTACAAGTTGTTCTTTTTTATCATCATGATAATTTAGTTTGATATTCTGCAGCAGGTTAGCCCTTCAGTGGGAGCTCAGTAACATGGCTGCACCATCACACTGGACATGTGGAAATGTGTTCCCATGACGTGTTCAAACATAAAGCTCTCTTGTGAAAGTGTAAGAAAATTCACAACATTTATATTAAAGTTAATAAGTTTGATATTTATGTACTGGTTGAAAATAGCCCTGTGACAAATCCATAGTAAAGTTAATAAAAAGTTAAAGGTTCATAGAATTAAAATTCAAATAGAAGTTCAAATTATTTCATCCAGAAAGAACTCTGGTTCATTTAAACCATGTAAATCTTTTGAACCCTGCCTCTAAAAAGAATCAAGAATCTAATAGGAACCAGAATTGTTCAAATTCAAACGATGCCCAAGACTAGTCATGTACACACTATACTGTGTACTTTTACTAAGGTCACGTACTCACTATACTGTGTACTCTTACTAAGGTCACGTACTCACTATA